AAACTATCCTCTTAACCTATGAATCAATCAGTATTCATTTCTAAAAAGTGCAATTCACAAAGTGTATCGAAGTGCCTGTTACTTGATAAATAGAGAGGACACAAACGTAACACGTGTAAGATATACCAGCTATACCAATACAAATTCAATACCAGGAAAAGCAAAGGGAAAAAATAAGAATAGGTTTCATATTCTTAGGTTTTTTTCGGTAAAGTCACGTAGGTAAAAAAAAATTAATAAAAGTAAAAATAAAAATAAAAATCACGACGTTTCGGAGGCAACACAAGCTTCCGTCTTCAGGTGGACCAGCCACGACAGCTGTATCAAGTAAATGAGAGATCACAAGAAATACCACTCCGTATATATAATGGTTGAAGAGGGGAAGGGCCAAGTACGGTACACTTTTTGTTAATATGGTAAGGTGAGGCTTAAGACTACCTACGTGACTTTACCGAAAAAACCTAAGAACATGAATCCTTGCAGTCACGAAAGCTTTAAATCTAGAAAGAATAGGTTTGACAATTTCTGGCAATAAATCAGGAGGTTTTCAAACACCAAAATAGATGCCTTTTGCAAGGCATCAAGTGTGCATTAACCACTTACTGTGGCAAAACATGCACACAAACATGATTTGATAATATATGGCATTGTCCTTGAAACTGATTGACCTAAGCCAGAGACAGCGTCCTTTATAGCCTTGTCTCTCCACCAGTCGTAAACTAAAAGTTCAACAAACCATGTTTGTTTTTGCGTGCGCATGTGTGCGCATGTGTGCGTATGTGTCTGTGAGTGTGGGGAGCGGTAGTGTAGCGGTTAGCGCGCTGCGCTATGAACCCAGCGACCCGGGTTCGATTCCCGCTCACGGCCAACACCAGTGACGATCATCTGAACCGGTCCTGGGCCTCCCCTAGGTCGACTCAGCCTTAAATGAGTACCTGGTGCGGTGTGTAAACATCGCCACTGGGGAGACAAAGGCGGTCGGGCGTGGTGCTGGCCACCCACCCCCTCGTGTACCGTTCCGGCCTTCATAGGTGCTCGCTAACAGCACTTGCCCCTACAGTCTGTTAAGGCTACACGGGGGATCATTGTCATTGTTAGGCGACATGGAAGAGACTACTGGGTGGTCTGGCTCATCAGGCTGACCCGTAGTCTTTATCTGAAGTTATTGAGGGATGATGATATTTTGTCAATCTCAGTAGCACAAAGGCAACGCAATCATCAGAAGACTTATAGCTCGGGTAGAGCAGTCATAGCTTGACGCTGGCAAAAAGGTCTCACAGATGAGTAAAAAGGTGGGTCTCTCATCTCAAACGTCCCAGGAAACATGAAATTCGCAACCCCAATGGGTGAGCCAATGGGTGAGCGAGAGATGTTAAATAACCCCAATGGGTGAGCGAGAGATGGTAAATAATCCCAATGGGTGAGCGAGAGATGGTAAATAACCCCAATGGGTGAGCGAGAGATGGTAAATAACCCCAATGGGTGAGCGAGAGATGGTAAATAATCCCCCTCCTCAACAAGGATCGCTGATGTTCACCGATTGTCGAGAATCGTCATCATATTCTAACATTTTACTCTCATCGACTATGAACTCTGTTCCTGCTCGTTTTGTATTTAAATCCCCAGTTTGGTCTCACCGGCAGTCCTAACCTGTGGTCACATTCACATCATCTTAGAGGCCATCACTTACATGGACGAACTTACAGGTTTTTATTTCTTTGATACAATGCACTCTACTTTGGGATACATGCAATCTGTCGTTCTCCATAATGATGAAATTATCAATTTAAATGCAAAAAACCCACGTTGTAATGAAACAGAAAGAGTCTGCAAGATGATGGAAGCTTCCCTTTCCAGGCACACCTCATAAGTGCCTTCCAGTGTCTCAACTCTTCCTGCGTTACTCTTTGTTTACAACCGCTGCTCACCGCTGTCTGTATGAACCAGCAAGACGAAGAAGGTTGATAGCCGTTTGCGTTCCAGACTTCCCTTCATATGCACTGGCACAGAATCGTTACGCACTTTTCGCAATTCAACTCGCCGTGGATTATCATACAATACGTTCTTACACGGGTCCCTCACTTCCGATTAGCACAGTTGGATACATACGGTGCGAAAGAAGTTCAACATACATACATAGACTCATACAGAGACCCATAGACTCACACAGAGACCCATGGTTTGTTGTCCTTCCACCGCACCTCCGATTAGCACGGTTGGCTATGTGCGGTGTGAAATAAGTCCTACATACATACTGTAGATACCACAATGACCTTGAAATATGTCATTCCTTCAGACCTGTAACCCAAAATCAGCCTCTCTAACACGAGTGACATGGGCTGAAGTTGAGGTGTCAACTGGCCTACAACTGCTGTCTCGAGTCACCAAAAACATGACTCACCTCCTAATTCCAGCAGATCCACCCATCATTTGTAAACATTGCCACGGTCCATAAGAGTTGTCGCCATAGTACAGCTTCGTTACTTTGATACAATTCTCTTGTTTTTATGCCCACAGAGGAAGAAAACAAACCAGCCCGTGGCTCATCTAATGTGTAGTTGGATCAGATGATACATCCAGCCACTTAGTGGCAAAAATCTGGAGAGAGAGAAAAAAGTACTGCATATATGTAAACACGGCAATGCCCCATTCACCAAGTGTTCATGTTTACTTGTATCACACTGCAATCAGTGGCAGATCTGTGTGGGGAGAGGCCGATTGGGTTGACCCTTGAGACCGCCATGACATTGGTGTTGGATCAACGTTCACCAGAGAAGCTTCTAGATCCGCCTCTGACTGCCACATACATTCCAGACGTACTCAGTGTCACTTTACTTGTTGTAACAACCACGCAGTTGGGAGGATCACACTTCATCTGTAAATTGGCCATTTTATCTGGTGCATGATAAACGTAGCTGGTGGAAGAAAAGGCGCTTTCCAAGGGAAACTTAAAATGAAGTGAATGCTTTACGGCAACTGCATGATAAGCGTATACATTGCAGAATTCGAGTAGATATGCAATGCTGCATATTTCACCTGCACTAACAATTGATTAATCTTAAGCATGTAAACGGTAAAAGTTTAATGCAATCAATATATGTCACTGCACGAGATATATTCGATTGTTTCACTGAATCTTATGGGAGTGTGTTTCTGTAATACGGTTAACGAGGCAATACGTGTTTGTTCCAAACTGCTTCAGGGTAGAGTCCTAAACTGGGTCAGGTTGGTCTCAGGTCGGGCCGGAGATGCGGTTTTTGGTTCGGGTGTGGGTCAGGTCACGTTCATATATGGGAGTTGCATAATTTCATCAGTATTGGTTCCACACAAGTAAACTTTGGACTGGTTTAGAAATTCACTGTCTCATCAGCAGAGTCCTGCACTCCCAGAATGCATTGCGTTTGACTAAAAGTGTGATTTTTTTATATGGAGGGAGAGTCATATGAAGGACATATAGTTTGCTTATTTATTTTGTTACTGATTTTCGCCAAAATATCGTCAGTGATTACATTGTTTTGTGTTTAATGTGAGGTCTATATTATGTGACACTTTTAAGAAATAACTCTGGAACACTGTCTTCTCTTGGGCCATTTTTAGAAACACGATGTTATACTGCAAGGGTGGGGAACCTTTTTTCTGCCAAGGGCCATTTGGATATTTATAACATCATTCGCGGGCCATACAACATTATCAACTTAAAAATTAGCCTGTTATTTTTGGTCAAACATTTAATTAAGTCACCCCTAATGTGATGGCTGGAACTGCTTCTCTTTGGCGAGGCGTGTGATGTTAGCTGGTGTTGATGATGTTGCTACTCGCAACTGCTTTTCCAGGTTTGCTCCTAGATTTTTTTGAATTTCGAGTCCCGCCTGCGGTTACCTTGGCAGGGCCGGACCAAATGATTTCGTGGTCCTTATACGGCCCGCGGGCCGGACGTTCCCCACCCCTGGTATACTGTTTGCTGTACCTTTTAAATGTCATCACCACATCTGACATGATGCAGATGACATTAAAGAAAAATAAAAAGGCAACGAGTTTCAATTTCCTTCACGAAATAATATTTGGATTTATTTTATAATTAGAAAATATATTTTTTCCCAGGAAAGGAAGAGCAACCTATGATGGCTTTTAAAGGCAAAATGTCACTGTTGTATTCAGTGTCTTGTTTGCAATTCTGCCATCTCTTGGATAAACATCCTCCTTATCTTTTGTTTACAATTACCAAAAGTTACATAATTGGACTTAATACACCACCAACCTGATGTGTCTAACACTACATATATGTGCATATTAGCACGTGTTCATGCGCATATATCACTCTTGGGTGGAGCCAGAGGCGAAGTTGCTACATTCACTGCACGTGAATTTGGCAACTATGAGTTTGATTTCTGGCTACGGCCTAACATCAGTGGTGAGTGACATCTGAGCCAGTCCTGATGTGTCCCCATCATCAACTCGCAGTCACCAGCAAGGCGAAGGACAAGCAGGCATCTCGAACCCTACAACTGGCAAGGCAGTATGGAAGGCATTTTTCCAGTGGTGGATTAAATGTGGTGTTCGTACCCACAATGTGAGCTTCTAGGGCATTTCTAAATCAGCATGTAAATAGACCTCCTATGATCTCTCCACGTAAAAAAAGACAGCGTTTACTTTAGGATATAATCCTTCATTCAAGAATTATAAACATTATTTTGAATTGCGTGGTTAAAACCTTGGCAACAACCCTCATGTACAATGGAGTAATTCCAGCTTTTTACCCAAAATTGTTGAGCGATCTTCAACAGCACATAACAGAAGCTGTCTAAGCAATCACAGCCTTAGAATCATCATCATCATCATCAGCCACGGTCAATCCACTCCTGTCCGAACGCCTCCCCCAAGTCGCCAGCACCTCTCCCAACGATCCCGCGACGCAATAATCCAGCCTGCCTGATTATCACCGCCATCATCATCATCATCGCGAGTCTCATTTGCGTCGTTCCTTCGCGTTCTTTCGACAGCTTGGCGTGGGGCTCCTTCACGTGCTGCATGGCAGCCTCGGTGACCACCCTCAACTCGTACACCAAGACGGTGCTGGAGTTCCGCTGCCGGAGGCGGCTGCTGTTGGTGCGCGACCCCGAGACGCAGCAGAGCCTGCTGCAGGAGGAGGCGCCCTCGGTCATCTCCCTGTCGGACGCTGTGGAGGGCGGCGCTTGCGGCATCTCCTTGCCAACCTCCTCTGCTGCCAACCCCCAGAGCCGCAGGATATCCGCTCCGACTGCCTTCATCGACCTCAACAGAGTGCCCGAGGTGATGCAGGAAGAGCAGTGCTGAAGACCGGGCCGTTCTTCTTGGACGGGATGCATCGGTGCGCGCGCGCGCGCGCTCTCTCTCTCTTCGGCTCTTCCCGGGTGGCAGCTTTCGCAAAGAAAGCAGCACGGACGACTCCACAAGTTGGGGCGCGTTACGTTTGTTTGAAATCACGAAGTTGGGCGTTGATGTGCCTCGCTCCGGTGCAGACTGAATACTGAGCACTCGCCTGTCCCCTTCGCAGTGAAGCATCAGTTTAGGTTGTGCCTTCGTTTCGATTGGAGATTTTTCCCTCCCCGGTACGGCCTGCCTCATTAAGTCGGCCCCGTTAGCCTGACCCCTGCTGAATGCCAAACAATAAGCGTGCGTCACTGAGCACAGGTGTGGATCCAAAGGAGGGAGATTACAGCAATTAATCATGGTCCTAAAGACCCCGCACCCAGATTTCCTTGACAAGACGGGGAATATAAGCCGTATTGATTCTGTCCAAGGATTTCTTCATTTTTGCAGCATCGAGGGTGCTCCGAAATAACGCGGGGCTTCATGGGTGCTAAGGACATGCGTCAGAGGAGCATTCAGAAATATTCTCTCTTTTGTGCACGGTGACGTCAATAAATTCACCTCTTAACACGTGTCACCATTGCCGACTCCCTGGGCCCATCGCTACGCAAGTGACGCGCCACGCAGTGCCGGACTGAGAAAACAATTCAAAAGTAAGGCAAGGCCTGGCAATGTGTTGAATGTCACCAACAGGAGAAAAACCCCTGCTGTTTGTGTGTTGATGGACGAAAGGTCCCACTTGTATGGCACGCTTTTTTTTGTCGTTTAATCTCCAAAGACAATTTACCTTTTAGGAATGTTAAATTGATAAAAGTACAACGAACGAAAACAACAACAACAACGACGAATCTGTGGGTGACCAAGATGGAGAAGGCCTTGTGCCTTGGGTGGCAAACCTATCTGTGCGTAGACAAACCCTATCGGTGCAACTAACCTTATCGTTTGATCCCGAATTACGCAAACTCGTAAACAGAAATGGTTCCGCAGTGCTTGGGATACAGGCAGGCAAGCCGTGCATGTAAAAGGCAATTTTAAAACCTGTTTTATTTTTGATGCTATGGAATTAGTGTGGCTTTTTGTAATCAGCATTGTATAAAGCTATAAAACTTACAGTCAAAACTGGAATTTATAATGTAGCTGTTAAGCAAATGTCCATTTAACTGTTGTACATTTTTTTTCTTCATAAGGGGGTCATAGATAAACGTAGTTTATTTTAAACTATGCCGGCTATTATTGGTGCATTTCATATGAGTGTGATAACATTTGGTTTGCAATAGTTCTTTCTTAAAGTACTGTTCACTGTGAAGTAGACAGATTTGTCTTTTTCTTGATTAATCGATGAAACAATTACATTCATGCCTTTGGATCGACACTTTTTGTCACGTGTTCTGTTTATTTTCATTGTTATCTGGTTTAAGATCAATTCACTTCTCTCCCCATCTTGTTGCAAGATAAAGTTATAGAAGCGGAATATTTTATCAGTGTTTACATAAAATAAACACAATGTTGTAAAAAGAAGCATCGTCGTCATGCAGTTTAGCACAAACCATTGCAACGATGTACAATGCGATTCAACTCTCTCAGTTTTAAAGTTTGTAATAAAAACGAGGAAAAATATGAAAATTAAAAATGAGACCGAGTTTTCGTGTGCGTCACCCACACCTGTCAACCCCTTGTCAGTGCCCTACCTTATCACAGACCAATTCAGACCTTATTGGTCAACCCGTGCCTCTTATACATCTCAACGTTCATCCTACAAAGTCCCATCACAAGGGAGAAACACACACAAATAGATAACATTGTTTTGCTCGTATTTAAACGGCTGTACACCGTATGGACCTGAAAACTCAATTTCCCTGTACAAGAATACGGGGTAAACCGCGTGGGTTGACAGCTATGATCACCGGACATTTTCTGTTCATTGTGTCACCTAAGATGTCCTACGTGTAATACAGTATTCCCGACTCCCTGGAAAGTGAGGTCTGGGCGGATACGTAACAAAGTTGGATATCAAATCATTTATTAAAAATGACAGTTCGCCACCACAAATAGATTGTTGGGCATACAACTCGAGTAGAAATTGCTTAGAACATGGGGGAAATGCTTGACTGTGCTTCCGAATCGAGGCGAAAGGACTCGAGATTGAAAAAAAAACGACGTCACTGCGTGAAAAGGTTCCATTTGCGAATATCTGCAGAACATGAAATCCACACCGTGCACTGGGTGTGGATGGCGAACTAGTAGGGCGCATATGCGGTGTTGTACTGCACTTTTAGAGTACAGTCCACATCCAACATGCAGTCCCCCACTCCCCCACCAATCCCTTGAGATGATATCGATGGAGAAACTGGTTCAGCGGGTACTCGAGTGGATATGTGTAGTTAGTAGTTATTTTCGACTCTCTGGTTTTACATTAACAGGTTAAATGTCTCACTAACACAGCCACCGTTGCTCGTTTTCCTCGATGTGGTGGTGGCTCTGCGATCTTACATTGACATGCTAATCTTTCACAACACAATGGCCACCTCCATTTCTTCGTCGTCGTGGAGGTAGCTCTCCCATCTTACATTGACATGCAAACTTCTCACTTTGACATCACTAGCCCCGCCCACTTCGCTTATGACCCTTGGGCTACACCCATTTAAAACCTTTAAAACAGCCTGCTTCAGCAGCTTTCCCGCTAAATGGTTCTCCTGATGACGATTGCTTGTGTTGCGATCGAAACGTCGTCGTTTTTTATTATTTTCTTTGAACCTATCTACGTGACTTTACCGAAAGACCCAAGAATATGGATATGTGGCACTTACAGTAATATCAGTCGTTCGCAAAATTTGCTTGCACACATTTCGGCACAAATAATGTCTTCCCTGAGTCCGTGTGGTGAAGTTTTAAGCAACCGCTGAACAAAACTGAAAGAGCATTGAGCAGGAATGTTTTCTGTTTTAGTAAAATTACATAATAATATATATCTGACATCCGGAGACACTCACAGATTTGTATATGTCTCTAATCATATACATAAAATGCATAGATGGGGTTTCCAAAATTATTAACATTTTTATTTGAACAGAGTTATCTCTCCTGTTCTGTTATCACCCTCCCCTCGCCCCCATTTTATAGTCTGCTGTTTATTCTATGTTTCTGATTCCCCTGCCTTGCACATTAAAAACATGGCCAGCCCCAACCGTCAATCTCTAATTCATAATGGATGGCTTTGCTTCATCCGTAATGGGAACTTGTTTTATTTTTACGAGAACATATGTATTGTAATCACAGGCTCAGGTTATTCATGATTGTTAACTCAATCAAATCATTGCATCTCCTATTTGCAACCGTTATTATAGCCCGAGGCTATCACTGAGGAAGGAGCTGTTTCACAGACACTATTTGGCGATGCTGCGTTAGCAGTGGTATACACACATAACAACAAAAATTGGCAATAACACTGTGGCTTTTTAAAAGAAAGAATACATAACAAGCGGCGTGCTGGGCAGAGGACATTTTTCTTCACTGCATTGCAGCAGCACCTCTCTTGGCCTCTCGAATGACATTATCATTTAAATTTGTTTCATGTAAAAAGCCACGTGCCAGCTGAATGGATCATTATATGAGAGGCAGGGGGGGTTCTGTAGATTGTTCCTTTAAAATAGAAAATTAGTAATCATTCGACACAACCTCGATGATCATAAAATGTAAGGCATATGGCCAACTCATTTAGCAGTTGTGAAATGAATTACATTCTTTTGAATACATTCAACTATTCAATTACGGATAACTTTCAAATTCTGCACATTTTAATTTCACAGAACAGTTTATTTTATTATTATTCAGAACAATTTCGAAATGAAGACCTTGCAATTGAGACGCTATGATAAATGATTGGATATTGAAATCTATTACTACCAAAACATGAATCTATCAATGAAACATTTTTTTAATTTTATTAAGAGTCAAGGCCTTTTGGGTGTGTCACCTCGTTTAGTTTTCATATTTAACCGAACGTGCAAGTAAGTCTTAATTACTGTAGCACTGCATGGGTGAGTTTATAATCAAGTCAAGGCAGCCACAATTTTCAGCAAATGCTTCGCAAGCAACGAGTGTGGAACATTTCGATTCAAAAGCTGAAAGTAGAAATGGAAGCATGTGCATACATGCCATTGTGGATATACAAAGAGCCAGGCAGCAAACGAAAGCAAAAAGGGGCTGGGAGATAATTTATCTCTTAATTTCCCCCTCATTCCTTCAACAACGATAATAATTCAAGAAATTGCACTTGGTATGATGAATGCAAAATGATAAAAACGGCTAATAGTGGTAGGCGCATGAATACGTGCAAAAAAGTAATTTTCAGGCAGACAAAAAATTATACGGTTAGAAATGTGAGTTGTTAATAGAAAACAGGGCTGCATATATTATGCATCTTTTTATGTTAGGCCTGCACGGACTGTTCTGCCTAATGAGTTTAACATCACTGACAGAGAAGTGCTGTCCTGTAATGGTTTTGTTTTGATATTGCCTCGGGTGAAGGCTTCGAGAAGGAGGAAGAATCACCACGTGGATCAGCAGCGACGAGTGCAGTGTGTCCTGTTCTGGGGCGATACCGTGGATCGACCTCACCCATCAGCGTATTTCATCATCATCATCTACATCGTCATCACGGTCCATGGGCAGATAGCCCCGTAGGTGTCCACTGCAACATTTCGTCATTTGTTGCCACTTTCCTCTTCTGTCTTCTCGTGCCAATGTGCTCAAAGTCGTGGCCACATCTTTCTGGCACCAATCTCTTACGATGTCGTCGTCAGGCCTTTCTCTGATCGGTCTTCCTCTCTTTCCGATTCCTTCCATATTACACGCTTTTATTTAACTCACTCTGTTTGTTGTTGTCGTATCCTCAAATCTTGTAACTCAATTTTAACCCACTTCCCAATGTGGTATCGACTGCAAACTTGGTATACTTATGTCATACTGATGACAATATTATATTCTATCATAACAAATAAAATAAAACATTTTCAACGATCTTTTTACACGCTTTCTATGAACTCACTGTCTGTTGTTGTCGTATCCTGACATTTTGTAACTCAGTTTTAAC